GCAAAATTAACTTATAATGTATATAGAGTGTGTTTGGTAGAGATTAAAATCGGATTAAAATTGAAAAACTAGCTTTTATTGTTGACTTTTATTAGACGGGTGGGACCCAATAACGACTATATTTTAAATTTTAATTGGATTTTTAGTGTTACCAAACAAGCCCATAATCGGTACCCAAAAACTCCTAAGCAAACCCATAAACTAGAATGACAATTTTCAATTTTGAAATGTCTATTAAAGAAGGAAAATCCTTTTTAATTTTTTTTTCTCCTCGCCCGACAATTTTATCAAAAAAATAAATAATCATTTTCAATTTTTTTTTTTTTNGCAAAATTAACTTATAATGTATATAATCGGTACCCAAAAACTCCTCAGCAAACCCTTAAACTAGAATGACAAATTTCAATTTTGAAATGTCTATTAAAGAAGGAAAATCCTTTTTAATTTTTTTTTCTCCTCGCCCGACAATTTTATCATAAAAATAAATAATCATTTTCAGTTTTTTTTTTTTTGGGAGCGAAGTAAACAACAAGGCATGATCAATGTCACGAATCAAACAATTAGGGGCCCCGTTTGAGCAATTGAAAATTTGATTGGCTTTTTAATCTTGTTTGATAGTATCAACTTTTCCAGTAGTCAAACTTTAATTTTAACGTACAATTTGTATCGACTTTTTAGACATCAGTTTCATCTACATTTATCAAAATATGTTAAATGGTTTACCAAAAGTTTTCAACCCCTTAATCAAGCTTAACATAGACACCCGTTTAACAACCATTAAAGAGGGGGCATTTTTTTGTTTTTTTTAAGAATGTGCGGTTAAAAAGTAAGAAAAAACTTGAGTTTACATACAAAATGTTTTATTATGAGAATATGTAGTTGAAAATGAGTTTGAGAAAAAAAGAATTATTTTAATGATTTTCAAACAAGGGCTAAACATTTTGTGTTTTCAAAGAGCAAAGTGTAGTTAAATGAGCAATATGCAGGATGATAAATTAATACAAAATAAAGCTAGATGTACATTATATCTTAATAAGGAGTTTGGAACTCCCCAATGTGAAAGAAATCCAATATAGTAATGGGATGAATGTGTTTAAAATTAATTGTGTAAATTGCTGCCACATGAAAGAATATCAAACTTAATGTAACTTATAACGTACAAGTAGCATGATTCTTTAATACATGCACGTTTAAAATTCATTTGATTGAATTAATCTGCTTGGCCAAAGCCCTGACCAGATAGTAGTTCTCCATTTGATTAGCTTAGAGTTGTCAATTTGGCTCGAATCGGTCCGATTTTTCTGAGCCCTATTTCAGAGTGTCAGCCGAACTCGAGCCCCAATCGAGCCAGCCTGTGTCATGGGCCATTTTCGACCCGTGAGCTAATTAAAAAAAGAAAAGAAAAAAATATATAAATTTTAGCGCATGGTGCCTGTACTGCATATATGTAGCCACACAAAGGCAGCAAGCTCTTTTTAATAATATATAAAAAAACATGAGTCGGCTCGGCTCAATAAAGCTTGAGTCAAAAGTTCGGGTCGAGCCTAACTTTTTTAGCCAAGCAAAAACACGGTTTGGCTCGGGCAAACAAAAAAAATGTCAGAACAATTTTTATTCGATTGGAGCTTAAACTTTGAGTTTCGTCTTAACTCGTTGGCATACCTAAATTAGCCTTATTTGACCATAGATCATCAGCTATATCCTCTAGCAACACATCATCAATGTCAACGTCTGCCAATTGGTCCTGAACATATCCACGACTAGCCAACAAATCCCTCCCATATCCCCCATTCACAATAGTCTACTGTAGTAATCAGCACATGGTTAACCCTCATCGATAACAACATATAGTCTATGTTTGACCCTCATTTTTTTCAAAAATTCATTTTTCATCACACATTCTTTCATAAAATAATATTACATGTAAATCGAATACTTTTTCTTAACCCTTATTTGCAACCATTATTTGAATAATAGAGTTTTAAATATATTTTTTTCAAGAGTGTGTGGTTAGAAAGTAGAGAAACGTTTTGAATTTACGTGCATAATATTTTATTGTGTGAATGTATAATTGAAAATGAATATATAGAAAAAGGAATTTTTCAAATAATAATTATTAAACAGGGGCTTATTTTTTAATCACACATTCTCGAAAAAATCACTATTTCAAAACTCACTCCGCCCGAATTTTTATTAAGAGTTAATCTACTCTGACAGGGATTGCAGCCAGAATTTGGTGACAACGATGACGTGGTGAGTTGTGATTCACCTATTTTTTAAAAAAATTCATCTTCCAATGATTTGGGGACAAGTGTTGTTTGTCACCAAACCCTGTCAAATATCCCTATCACAGTAGCATGATTCTTTTGTTAAAATGGAGCCCAAAAAAGGGCATATTTGACCATTGATTCTAGGCTACTAGTTGTAAATAATCAACATCGATAACCACTCTAAGCACTTGTGCACCTTCTTGAGGTCGCTATTGACAACAATCAACTACCAATCCTAGATGCTAATCACCAGCATCGATTGATAAGACCAATAACTGCCATTGTCTCGTCATTAATGATGAGTAAATTCCAATTTGAGTTTTTGCTTTTACTTTTGTATAATAGTTTTTGAAAAAATTTACCTTCATTTTTTTTTGAGAACTAATTTTTACAATATTTCCTATTTCATAAATGCTTTTAGAGGAAATTGTATTTGACCAGTCTCATTTGAAAACTCTTCTAAATAGAAGAAACGTTTTTATAAAATTAATCAAACAGATTCAAAAGCTACTTTTAGATTTCAAGAACTCATTTTAACTTTTCAAAAATTGTA